TGCGGGGCAACGGTCGGAGGTGATCTCGTACTATCTTACCCGGTTCTGTTATGTCGTGGCAGACCTCTTGTGTTTGCCGGGGCCGACTGGTCAAAACCTCCCGAAACTGTTGTAGGACCCGCCTCACCTGGTCTTGTTGGGCCGGTGATAATTCTTCCCCGACCTGGGCTTAGTCTGCCGCCACCTCGGGGTCCCCCCAGGGTCCAAACTCGATATCCACTGGTCGTGGGTCAATCAGGAGGGCTTCCCTGGGCTGCTTCCACCTTTTTAGCAGGTTTATGTGATAGATTTGGGTTTCTCTACGATTGCTATTCAACAATATTTCATAATCCACTGGCCCAACTTGCCTTACTACCCTGAAGGGTCCTTGCCATTGGGCCAATAACTTCGACTCCCCCGTCAGAAGTAACAGCAGGACCGGGTCGCCCAGGGCGAATGTTCTTATCTTGGCCTTTTGGTCGTACTGGGTCCGTTGTCCCTCTTGAGCCTTCTGGAGGTTTTCGCAAGCCCACTCCGCTAGACAGTGGAGGTTTTTCCGCAACTTTTCTATGTACTGCGCGACTCCAAGGGCCGGGGTTATCTGCTGTTCCCACCCCTCCTTCACCAGGTCTAGGATTCCCCTGGGCCGTCTTCCATACAGCAGCTCAAACGGCGAGAAACCCAGTGACGCCTGTGGTACCTCCCGAATTGCGAACATCAAAGCGGGTAATAATTTATCTCAATCCCGTGGGTCGTCCATAACAAACTTGCGTAGCATCCCCTTCAAAGTCCGATTAAACCGCTCCACGAGACCGTCCGTTTGTGTGTGATAGACGGATGTCCTGAGTCTCCGCACCTGTAAGATTCTACATAGCTCCGTCATTATTTTAGATGTTAGATTAGTTCCCTGGTCTGTTAACTCCTTGGGTAACCCCACCCTGGAGAATAGCTTCACTAGTTCCTCCGCTATTGCGGTTGCGGTCACCTTCCTTAGGGGAATAGCCTCGGGGTATCGTGTTGCATAGTCTACGATGACCAGGATGTACAAATGTCCTCTCCCCGACTTCTCCAGGGGTCCCACTAAGTCCAGCGCAATGCGTTCGAAGGGGGTCCCCACTATCGGGAGAGGAATGAGGGGTGCAGGTGGGACCCGGGTGGTGGACGTTCGTTGACACTGAGGGCAGGAGGCACAGAAGTCTTTCACGTCTTGGTATACCCCGGGCCAGTAAAACCTTTGCAAGACCCGGTGTTACGTTTTCTCGGATCCTAAGTGGCCAGCCCAAGCCTTCCACCGATAGGGCCAGGGGTACCAGCAACTGCCGTCTCTCTTCCCCTCCCGGCCCCCCGGGTGTTACGCGGAACAGGCGATCCCACCAAACTTCAAACCGGGGTCCCTGAAGTCCGCGTCCCCCACCTTCCTCTAGGTTTCCTACCTGGTTCCAGGCGTTCTGGAGCGTTAGGTCTTCCCTTTGCAGGGTCGCGAAGTCCCCTTCATCCAGTTCTAGTCGCGAGGCCGTCGGTTGAGCTTCTGGTCGGGGTTTGGCCGCGGATGTCGGGTCCACAGGCGATCCCACCAAACTTCAAACCGGGGTCCCTGAAGTCCGCGTCCCCCACCTTCCTCTAGGTTTCCTACCTGGTTCCAGGCGTTCTGGAGCGTTAGGTCTTCCCTTTGCAGGGTCGCGAAGTCCCCTTCATCCAGTTCTAGTCGCGAGGCCGTCGGTTGAGCTTCTGGTCGGGGTTTGGCCGCGGATGTCGGGTCCTCTACCTCCTCCCCGTGCGCCGCCAGGGTATGTCTGTCTTGCCTCTCCCTTTCTGGCTCTGTTTGAGCTTCCCCCCAGTCACTTAACAGACTCCTCAGTCCCAGCCAGTCCCGCCCTAACAATGCGGGGTATGCTAGTCTGGGAGCTACCGCCACTTCACAAGTACTCCTTATCCGCCCATCATAAATCTCTACTTTAGCCGTGGGGTAGGGATGTATATCTCCATGTACGCACCGCATGTATACCCTCGGGGCCTCCTGAAGTTAAGAATATCGGCCCTTATAATTGTTTGCCCACACCCCGAGTCTAACACTGCCTTTACCCACTGGCCATTAATTTGGACCCCATGGGTCAATTGTGTGCAGTCCCATTTGACCCCATTTACCTTCCGGGTCGGCCCTTGGCCGAACGTACAGTCCATGAGAGGGCAGTCCTTCTTGAAGTGGCCTTCCTGTCCACACTGGTAGCAGGTTCCTTTTGTGCCCGTTTCCAGATTCGGGTTCCACTCGGGCCCCTGCCTTTGCCCTTCCCCACCAGGGGGCGGTTCCTCGGGGTGGCTCCATCGGGGTGCTAGCCTCCTCTCTGGTCCTAGGCTTAATGAGGCTCTGTGTCCATACCCCCCTTGGGGTATGTCTACACTACCCTCCTAGTTCGAACTAGCGGGGCAATGTAGGCATACCCTCGGGGTTTTACCCCAACCTTAGGTGGGAGGGGGCCTAGAGCGTGGGTGTCCTTCAGCGTACTTCCCTCGGGGTGGCTCCATCGGGGTGCTAGCCTCCTCTCTGGTCCTAGGCTTAATGAGGCTCTGTGTCCATACCCCCCTTGGGGTATGTCTACACTACCCTCCTAGTTCGAACTAGCGGGGCAATGTAGGCATACCCTCGGGGTTTTACCCCAACCTTAGGTGGGAGGGGGCCTAGAGCGTGGGTGTCCTTCAGCGTACTTCGGGACTTGGGCGTTTCTACTCCTTCAGCGGCTAGGAAGTGCTCCATCAGAGTCACAGCTTCCTCCAGTGTCTCGGGGAGGTGACGTCGTACCCACCGCTGTCCCTCCGTGGGCAGGTTCTTGATATATTGCTCAAGGATCACGGTCTCGGCCACCTGTACCCCGGACTTATTCTCCGGCTCGAGCCATCACATCCCTGCCTCCCTGACTCATTGGGCCACCACCCTGGGGCGTTCCCCTGGGTCATATTGGACTCCCCTGAATCTTTGGCGCTGTGTCTCGGGGGAGACGCCGAGCTGATCTAGGATCGCCTCCTTTACTTTATAGTAGCACAGGGCGTCTCATGCTGACATTCCCCGGTACGCCAGCTGTGCAGGACCCGACAGGTGTACAGGGCTAGGAGGGTCGCCCAATGGTCTTGTGGCCATTTTGCCGCCGTGGCCACCTTCTCAAATGTGATGAGAAAGGCCTCCGTACCTAGTTTGGTTAGACGTATCAGTAAATGCATGCCCACTGTACCTTCATCACTTCCCATTAGGGACCGTCCCCTTCCCACGGCGGTCGCTCCCGGCGGCCCCTCACGCAGTTCCTTGACCATCAGTCCCTGTTGTTCTTGGAACTTGGCCAGGATTTGTTGCAGCACCTGAGTCTGCTGTTGCTGTAACTGTTTTTGGTTCTCCACCAGCCATTCGAGAATCTTGTTCATCTCCATTTTGCTGCTTGGGGAATTAGCAACTGATTATTCCTGGGGGACTTATTGTGCCTCCCCCTCCTTTCCTTGTCTGGCCCTCCGAACAGGGCCGGGGTTCATGCCCACATTCTCCACCACGTGTTACTGTTTTGCCTTAACCCACCCCGAGTTTGGGTGGGAAGTTATCCCGCGATTACGGTTTTCCCCCAAATAAAGGGGCTATTCCCAACTTCTGTATCTGTAAATAAATTGAATTTGGACTCGTTTATATCCTCTGGCCCGGGAAGGGGACTCGGGCCCTCCCTCGCTCCGAGTCCCGACCCAGGGCCCTAAGACAGGGACACTTGTCCCTGCTCCCCTAACCCCTCCACTCACGGGGTCCATGACCCTGTCCTGGGCCACTTCTTCCCGGGTGGCATCATACTCCCCAGTGTGGGGATAGGCTTACTGTCGGCCCCCTCCTCCGGGGTGCCGATAGCTGTTCGTGCTCACCGCTGCCTTCCCCCTCTCGCTCTCCCCCCTGGCCCTTTTGCAAGGGCCGCGGTTCGGCGTCCCTCTCTG